CTTGGGGCTCTTCAAGCCCACTGTAGACATCTTCCTCTTTCTTGCAAACGCTTGTTTTATCGTTGCTATATATTGCCCTTACTTGACTACTGTGATACTGCTTGGTCTGGCATAACTACTACTGTATTGAACAAGCTAGAAACCCATAACCGCATGCTCCTTAAAATCTTATTTAGCAAAGATCGTCGCTTTCCCTCCGCTAGTCTTTACGAATTGCCAAGATCAGTCCCCTTTCCACTCGACATAAGGGCGCGTTCAGACTACCGTGAACCCCGTCAAACCGTGAATGCCGATAAACCGTGAAGGACATTCACACTACCGATAACAAACTAACGTTTACCGTGAAGTTTTCAGCTCTCACCGCGGCACTGACAAGGGATTTTCCCTTTTTTCCCAGCGCGCATGCAGCCTGAGCACTTTTTTACTGCCGGTAAAAGTTTACTGCCGCAGCCGCCGCGGCAGTAAAACTTTCCCACCGGTAACGTGCCAGTAACGTCACGTGATCAAATCACCTTGGCGCCTTTCCCAATCGGTCACTTTTTATCGGTAGTCTGAACGCGCCCTAAGCGCGCAACAAGCCTAAAATCCGTGTACTTTGCACATCCCGTGCACTTGACAAGCTAAGCCTGGGCGCATCAATCGCATGCCCTCTCAACTTTTCGACCGCTTATTTGGCATATCATCTATAAGCATGAATATATTTGGGTATTGTGTACATAAATCAGTGAAATCTAGCCACATACATTTTTTTATATTGATTATCAGTTACCCACAATATTCAGTTATCCAACATGCCTGATTCATAAAAGTGGTCGGATAAGTGACATTCGACTGTACTACAGTAAGATCGGGCGCCGAAGAACACCTCGCCGAAGAACACCCAGGCTGGAAAACCGGCAAAATTTAAGAACAGTCCAGGCTAGAATTATCAGATTTAAAGGGGAAGTTAAGGCAAAAATTAAAATTTCACCAGTTGTAGTCTTCGGGGTGCTGAGTCGAATGGTCGTGGTCCGAGGAAGCTGAGACGCTCCCTTCCTACTTGAATCCCAATCGAACTCGCGCACTTCCACCGAAACTGGGTGACTGCGCCCTACTAGATGGGGATTTGTATGCAAAATGTCACTAAAAGCGCCATTTCGTTCTTATAAAAGCACGGATGACCGCGATTGGCCCATATGTTGTAGTCTTTTGGACGCTGAGTCGACTGGTTTTGGTCCGAAAAGGCTGCGAAGCAGCGTTCCTCCTTTATTCCCAATCGAACATGGTTGAACAAGCGGTCACGTGCTCCTGCGTACACCAGTCATCTGGTCACCGTGCCTGCAGGGTACAACTTACTAGCCTGTTTGACCTTTTTTGGGTGCTGTCCTGTCACTCGAGTTGAACCTTGGTGTGAAAGTTGTCACCTGCTGGCGTGGTGACCAGGTGATTTGGGCACCCAGGAGCACGTGACCACTTGTTCAACCTTGTTCGATTGGGAATAAAGGAGGAACACTGCATCGCAGCCTTTTCGGACCAAAACCAGTCGACTCAGCGTCCCAAAGACTACAACATATGGGCCAATCGCGGTCATCCGTGCTTTTATAAGAACGAAATGGCGCTTTTAGTGACATTTTGCATACAAATCCCCATCTAGTAGGGCGCAGTCACCCAGTTTCGGTGGAAGTGCGCGAGTTCGATTGGGATTCAAGTAGGAAGGGAGCGTCTCAGCTTTCTCGGACCAAGACCATTCGACTCAGCACCCCGAAGATTACAACTGGTGAAATTTTAATTTTTGCCTTAACTTCCCCTCTAGAGGGGAAGTTAAGGCAAAAATCCCCTCTAGAGGGGAAGTTAAGGCAAAAATTAAAATTTCACCAGTTGTAATCTTCGGGGTGCTGAGTCAAATGGTCTTGGTCCCTAGAGGGGAAGTTAAGGCAAAAATTAAAATTTCACCAGTTGTAATCTTCGGGGTGCTGAGTCAAAATATTAATGGTCTTGGTCCGAGGAAGCTGAGACGCTCCCTTCCTACTTGAATCCCAATCGAACTCGCGCACTTCCACCGAAACTGGGTGACTGCGCCCTACTAGATGGGGATTTGTATGCAAAATGTCACTAAAAGCGCCATTTCGTTCTTATAAAAGCACGGATGACCGCGATTGGCCCATATGTTGTAGTCTTTTGGACGCTGAGTCGACTGGTTTTGGTCCGAAAAGGCTGCGATGCAGCGTTCCTCCTTTATTCCCAATCGAACATGATTGAACAAGCGGTCACGTGCTCCTGGGTGCCCAAATCACCTGGTCACCACGCCAGCAGGCGACAACTTTCACACCAAGGTTCAACTCGAGTGACAGGAATGCACCCAAAAAAGGTCAAACAGGCTAGTAAGTTGTACCCTGCAGGCACGGTGACCAGGTGACTGGCGTACGCAGGAGCACGTGACCACTTGTTCAACCATGTTCGATTGGGAATAAAGGAGGAACGCTGCATCGCAGCCTTTTCGGACCAAAACCAATCGACTCAGCGTCCAAAAGACTACAATATATGGGCCAATCGCGGTCATCCGTGCTTTTATAAGAACAAAATGGCGCTTTTAGTGACATTTTGCATACAAATCCCCATCTAGTAGGGCGCAGTCACCCAGTTTCGGTGGAAGTGCGCGAGTTCGATTGGGATTCAAGTAGGAAGGGAGCGTCTCAACTTCCTCGGACCACGACCATTCGACTCAGCACCCCGAAGACTACAACTGGTGAAATTTTAATTTTTGCCTTAAAGGGGAAGTTAAGGCAAAAATTAAAATTTCACCAGTTGTAGTCTTCGGGGTGCTGAGTCGAATGGTCTTGGTCCGAGGAAGCTGAGACGCTCCCTTCCTACTTGAATCCCAATCGAACTCGCGCACTTCCACCGAAACTGGGTGACTGCGCCCTACGAGATGGGGATTTGTATGCAAAATGTCACTAAAAGCGCCATTTCGTTCTTATAAAAGCACGGATGACCGCGATTGGCCCATATGTTGTAGTCTTTGGGACGCTGAGTCGACTGGTTTTGGTCCGAAAAGGCTGCGATGCGGCGTTCCTCCTTTATTCCCAATCGAACATGGTTGAAGAAGCGGTCACGTGCTCCTGCGTACACCAGTCACCTGGTCACCGTGCCTGCAGGGTACAACTTACTAGCCTGTTTGACCTTTTTTGGGTGCAGTCCTGTCACTCGAGTTGAACCCGAGTTGAACCCTGGTGTGAAAGTTGTCACCTGCTGGCGTGGTGACCAGGTGATTTGGGCACCCAGGACCACGTGACCGCTTCTTCAACCATGTTCGATTGGGAATAAAGGAGGAACGCTGCATCGCAGCCTTTTCGGACCAAAACCAGTCGACTCAGCGTCCCAAAGACTACAACATATGGGCCAATCGCGGTCATCCGTGCTTTTATAAGAACGAAATGGCGCTTTTAGTGACATTTTGCATACAAATCCCCATCTCGTAGGGCGCAGTCACCCAGTTTCGGTGGAAGTGCGCGAGTTCGATTGGGATTCAAGTAGGAAGGGAGCGTCTCAGCTTCCTCGGACCAAGACCATTCGACTCAGCACCCCGAAGACTACAACTGGTGAAATTTTAATTTTTGCCTTAACTTCCCCTTTAACTTCCCCTTTTTAAAAGAACACTACTCACTAGATCTACATTGTACGTAGATCTACATTGTACATGACTATGGGAGGTGAGTACATGTCATGTAGATCTACACGTGTAAACAGTAACTGCTACATGTACAGTCATTCCCATTTACGACACCCACTAGTTTAGAAGTACTACATTGCACTACATGTACATGTACATGTACATGACAAACGTCATGACGTCACTCGACTCGCCGCGCGCGTGTGAATAAGAACGGTCTGGCTAGAATCAAAAAATTAAGAACTAATACTGTAGGCTGCGCTCGAGCCCCGGGCCCTGCGTTCTTCGGCGCCCGATCTTATACTACTACTAGTACTACTAGTATGGACCAGGGAGTCGTATACCCGGGAGGCGACACGCGCATCACTTGTGCACAACCATGATCGACTCAACGATTCAAAATATTACGACCTGCTCGGTGTGGGACAAGTCCGTACATACATGTAGGTCATAGCGCCCGGGAAATCCGTACATAGCGTCGTCTTCGTCCTTTCGCTGAACAGACTTTCGATCTCCATCGCCGAAATACAGCCATCTGTGGCCATCGCTGAGGAGTTCACTAATAAAGGGTCTTGTTCGCTGGCTTACTCACTGGCTTTGCACTGCCACTCGAACTCTGAGGCACTTTGACCACCTAAGATGAGGTAATCCTTTCTTTACAAATTGCCTCAATATTTTCTCACCTTTAGGGCAATGAAGTAATTTTTTTCCTCGTGACTAACTTCGACCGACCAAGTTGCCCTGTCCCAGTGATCTACAATACTTATATTGCACATTTGTGAAATATTGGACCTATCCAGATAAACGAAATGACTTATATTCGAAATTACATTTTCCAAAGTTTTCCTTCACAAATAGTCCCAATTTGTTCTCACCTTTAGGGCAATGAAGTAATTTTTTTCCTCGTGACTAACTTCGACCGACCAAGTTGCCCTGTCCCAGTGATCTGCAATACTTATTTTGCATATTTGTGAAATATTGGACCTATCCAGATAAACGAAATAACTTTTATTCGAAATTACATTTTCCAAAGTTTTCCTTCACAAATAGTCCCAATTTCTTCTCACCTTTAGGGCAATGAAGTCAATTTTTCTTCAGGACTAACATCGGCTAACAAAGTGGCGCTGTCCAAGTGATCTACAATACTTATAATCATTGCACATGTGAAATATTGGGACACAGAGTGAGGAAATGGCCTAAATTGAAACTTGAACTGTTCTGCCAAGTTTTATGCAGTGAACGCAGGGCTGAGAGCCCGCAAGAGCCATCCCGGAAGATCTTGTGCGCCACCAACCGAACCTTCGGTGAATGTTCACAAGGTTAGAAGCTCGCACAGATAACACACATTGGATGCTAATAGTAATACTTGCACTCAGGAATGTGTGCAAATACGACAGAATTAATTCCAAATAAAGTCAACAATAGCTGCCTCAACACAGTGCTATCAACCATCCGTATTTTCCATATTTGTACGGAAAATCACTACTTCGTCCGCGCTATGGATTTTGAGAAAAATGCACGGAAAATTGAACGGGATTGATCAGTATGTATAAGCATTGCAAGTGCAAGCTGAGCGATGAAAAGCAGAGAACCGAGTGGAAAGAAAACGCTGCAGTGGAGAGTCCTTAGAAAAGACTTAAAAAATATCAATAATATCGCTGCACGAGATCATCCTTATAAGTTATAACGTCAGCTGATCGTACTGTGGTTGATTCATACGGCGGTAAATACACACCTGCCTACACACGCTCTCTAAACTGAAAAGTTATTCTGGCACAGAGCTCTCCTTCCCGCCACCACCACCATCATCAGTTCGCGTCTGGCGCCTAGTCGATGCAGGGTGAGTGGTGTCCGACATAGCAGGCTGGTACATCAGGTAGCGTATGGCGCATAGCAGATGACACAGCAACAACATAGCTTGATTGCGACGTACCTTTCGTCCCGGCTGGACTCATCAGGCAATCTTCTTCTTAGATGTCTTCACAAGGAGCTTGACTCGGGAGAATGAAGTTGAAGACTCCACTGCAACTGCACTTATGGTTGGTTCATATGGTGGTAAATACACACCTGGCAATATGGGGGTAAATACACGCCTGCCCAGACACGCTCTCTAAACTGCAAAGTTATTCTGGCACATAGCTCTCCTTCTCACCACCACCACCACCACCACCACCACCATCAGTTCGCGCCTGGCGCCTAGTCGATGCATGGTTAGCGGTATCCGACATAGCAGGTTGGCAAATCAGGTAACGCATGGCACATAGAAGATGGCAACGACATAGCTTGATTGCGACGTACATTTCGTTCTCTCGGTTCTGCTGTAGCCTGAAAAAGGAAATAAGACAATGCATCCACATGACACAGACAAGTAATTACTGTTACAAATAATGCATACTGCTTGATAACAGAGAAAGAAAGTCAGTGGTCACACAATTTTTTGGTCGTCCCTAAAACGAAGATCGCTCCAGGGGGGGGGGGGGGGAGCTAAAATCTCAGTCGACTGACGTTATGCATACACATGTACATGCATGCGATTTTCGTCGTCCATTCATTTCGGAGGGTGGAGAGGAGGTCCGAGTACGAAATGAATGATGTTTTTTTCAGGGATCACTAATCACTTTTGCGATGACCCCTTATTGCATCAATTTATCGTCTGAACTGCGCAATTGAGTCCCACTTTTATTATGTTGGGTCCAGATTTCAAGACTCGTGAAGTTCGAGGCGAAAAGCAGGCCGATGAAGGGACGCCAGTAATTCAGTCTAGTCCGGTGTCCTGGAGAGGGGCCGATGAACCGGCAACAAGAGAATTCAATACACATGCTACTCTTCAGTTCATTGCTGGGGAAGACTACTCAAGGCCACGTCACTCCGGCAATTCAATGTACAAATTAGCAGCAACACTTTCAAACGTATTCCTACCAGCTGACCAGCAAGTTACCAGCCATCAGCTCTTCAAATAATTTCAACTTAACAGGAGAGGAGATGGACAGATCGGAAAGTATCGTGGCAAGCTCAGGACAACACACGCCCGGCCCTATGTAACAACAGTGGAAAGTGCCGTGCCATGGTATATTTTCGAAGGCATATCAAGAACCAGCTAATGTGGACTGGGAGTCCATTTGCATCGTCCGATCAGCTGCTACAAGTGCCGTGAGCCAATGGCAAACACGTTTAACAGAGACTACTACCTCTACTGAATGCAACTTTGCATGGCAGAGATCTACAAGCACGTTATCTTATCTATCAATAGAGTTGTATCGTCGTATGACTATGTGAAGTGTGAGGTCGTACTGTACTGCAGACGCGTCTACAACCTGGTTGGAAATGTACGCAACAGTTCCCACCCTCTTGACCAGAGATCGCACACACCCTAGGTTTTGATGGGTTTGTACGACTCCCAGCTCTTGACTTTTGTTGGGTGTACGAGACGCACGCACAGTTTTCTTAGGGTGAGTACTTTTTCATGTAGTACTGAATGCGGCAAGCAGGACTCGCCCATCCGCCCCTCCCCAAATGGATCTACTCGAATGGTTCCGGAGGTAGGGGTGCTCTGGCGGGATTTTACGACATACACAAGCGCGCGCACACGCACACAATATACACACGCACGCACACACATACACACGAACGCACGCTATGTCGCACGTCTTGGGCATGGCTTCGTGAATACAAATAATAATTTAATGTTATAATTTATAGGGTCCAAATGTTAGAGCAGCTTTACAAAACCTACCGTTCAATACCGGATCATCTTGTGACAGCTTCCTTGCAACACCCATGACTTGACCCCACTTCGTCTTGACGTCGGGAAATCGTTCACACCGGAGTTGGGACACGACTCATTGAAATCCAGGCCTATCTGCAGCTGGGAGCAGGACAGAGCTGATGGACGTCAGCAGCGGCTGTAGAACAACCATAAACGAGTCTTCTTTCTCCGCAGTCAGGCGGGACAGCAGCTTTGCAACGCAATCTTCTTGCCTTCTGTGGGTCTTTAGCGGCTGGGATTCGGAACGCTCTGTAGAAACCATTGAACAAGTACTGCACTCTATCAACCCACAAGTATTTCTTCCAATTCATGATTATTCGCAACTTTTTATGCAGTACGCGCACCAGATCAGAAGCCGCTAAGTAGCAAGGTTGAAAGTTTCAAGACAAATTGAAAAATATAATAACATAGAAAATTAGAATTCAAACCATACCTGTGGCCCAAGCCAATACCGACTGAGCGTTCACGCGAAGAGAACGTAGATCTACGTCAGCTGAGGTTTCCTTAGGATCAGGAGGTGATTCTTGACCCGGATCTGGATCGCGATCAGCAGCACTCTCTGCCTCAATCACGATCATCAAATGCAACTAATTTATAATACTTGGAAAAGTAGTTCATTCTTCTTCTTCTTTTCGAGCTACGATTTCCCACGATCCTATCGATCCTGCACGAGTCCGTTCCCCAAGGAGTGCACTCCCAAAGTCCCATGGCATAAGTACACGGAGTAGTTGGTTTATAACTCAGGGCACGCACCGGGGATATCTGAGGGAAAAGTGGGAGAAAGTGCCGCGAGTCAATCATAGTCGGCCCGGAAGGCCTCGTGTCGCCTCCCGGGTCTATACGACTCCCTGGTGGTAATGGTACGAGTGTTCAAACCCATTTGAACTTCATACTGTTCGTCTTCTTTTTGACATGCTCTCTTTCCATCGTCCTTAGCTTTTGTTTGTTGAGAGCTGTTTTGGCTTTCTCCTATACCTCTGGGGGATGCCAAGTGATGGTTTTGAGAGGCTGGTGATGGCTGTGAGCGAGAGTTTGCCGATCGGCGTCGTCCTCGCTATAGCGATGAAAATACTAGTTACTGCGCACCTGGCAGATATCACAACACGTCGAGCGTCCAGGAGCAAAGGAATCTTGGGTTTTCACTGGAATCTAGTTCCTCCAGCATCGTGTAGCCCACCGTCGGTGAATGGCCGTCCAGAAAGGTCGAACCTGGTCTTCTGCAGCATCTCGCAGTCCTGCGAGGCACACTGAATACGCCTGTCATGTATTCTACAAATAAAAATCACGAAGTAGTGGACTTTATAGTGATGAGTCTATCCTGTATGCTGCAAAAGACGCAGGAAATGTGACTGGTGTCCGTACACTGGACGCCAATATCATCCCAGTCTTCTCCTGCAGGATCTGTTTGACATTGACATACTGGTATGCAGTGGGTCGACATTGGCCTGGTTTGGCAGCTATCTGCCTGGGTGGATGTAGCAGGTTTGCATTGGCTTGTAACTGTGGAGTACCGGCAGGGTTTGAGAGGTTGCTTGTGCTGTGAACACATCTCTACTGCCTGTCTCGTCCTGGAAGTGCCGTCTCGCCGCTTCCTTGCTCTACAGTCACGCCGTTATTTCGCTTTCAACGGTTTCGTGGTGCAGCTCAAAACCTGCCCAAACAACTGTGAGCTCGCAACATGGTATGGACAAATTGCACCACTCATGCTGGTTAACTAAAACCGGGATAGTCGAGTAAGCGAGTTCACTCCCTGGGCCATGGCAAGATCTGTTCAGCGCGGGCTATTCCAACCTCCAAGTGCATAGTCACCGATCGATCCATGCGATGGTGGTTGACCTACAAAGAGCCAAGGTCTACGAGTTCTACTATTGGATGCTGTCTACATGCAGTCAACAAAATCGAAGTACCTCAGTATGCCCCAGAATAGGGCATGTGCATCTATAGCATGACACAACAGGGGTTCTGGCGGCACCTGTCAAACAAGCAGTAGCGACTAGTGCCAGCTACCTATCGGAGGCTAGCCGCTACAGTCTGTCACTGGAGATAATTATTATGTTCACTGTTTAGACTGAGCACAATCAATGATGCCCAATCAATCTGCCCAATGTGTGTTCTGTTCCACCTAATTATAACTTTCCATCGCATCAACCCTACTACACGCACATGTCGTCACTCTAGCATGACTTGTGTTATTGTTTATTTTGATTCGCACGATAAATAGAGCACAATAAACGTTAACTTGACCAAAGGATGAAGGCGACTGCAGATAGAGGAACACATCGAGGTACAGGTCCTGGCATCAATACAGTATCAGAGAGAAACAAACAAAAATGAGAGGTACGCAGAAAAAACTCTCGTAAGCCCAAGGGGAAGTGGTTGATGAGGGATGAATGCACTCTCCACGCTCATCTACACTGTTCGTGGAAATGCACACATACATACAATAATATACAACATAGCAACAGCATGAACAGAACCGAACAATTTCATGTTCACACATGCAAGCACAGACCTGAGCATTAGTACCAAAAGCCGATACAGACAATATCCCCATACACACAGACTCACGCACACACACACACACACACACAATGTCCCATGTATGCGCCCGTGGTGAGAAAAGCACGCAAATCTACAAATGCACTGGATGTGAACCCACAGATTTTCTCTTATAGCAACGATAGCGGATCTGATTCTGAATGAAACACACACACACAATACAATCATTGAATGCCCATCCACAGATGATGGCAGGTCCTGAAAGAACATGCAGTGTTCCAGTAATGGGGAACAGAACTTCGAGTGGTGAGTGAGGTATACACACACACGTGCGTGCGCGGGCACACACTAAAATATTCAGAAATAGAATCGACATTGTAGTATTCATTGGTTGGGGAATGGAAAGGAAAATAAAACATTGCTGTAGGTTATTGTTGTAAGGACACTGGGAGCACAACAGAAAGGTAAGCAACTTGCTTTGAAGCAAAGAAAGTCATTACTCCACGGATCTCAGAAGGAAGGAACGTTCCAGAATGCTGTACAGCAGGTCACATAGTATCGCAGCCTGGACAAATAGGCGCTGGGAAGTCCTAGTTATGTGCTCACCTACACCACGATGCACCAATATTCTGAGCTACTTTGGCAACAACTTTGTCCACTTGAGACTCCCATGGGCTGAGCCAGTCCAGTTGTTGAGGGCTGCACCAAGGTGGACGGCAATGACCGCTGATGGTAAGGCAATCCCGGAGTCACAAAGGCATCGTCAACATGGCGCTGAGGCTGGATCGATAAAATCAACCTTTAGGCTGCCGCGGGGTTGACAATAGGCCGCTGTCTCGAAGCTAGTCAGTCAGCCTGGTCACCGCCATTGACGAACCAGTCGCCACCGCCAGCAGTGGCGGTAGGTTGTGACAAGTGTGGTGCAATATTGTCAGCAAATTCAGTACTCAGGATAAGATGAGTGCAAAGGGAACGTTGTGTTTGATAATATTGAAGTGAACAGGGATGATCACAAACCCTGCGCGTACTCCACCGTGAGTTACAAGAAAATTCCGGACTGGACGACGAGCAAACGCCAACCTGCTACATCCAACCAGGCAGATACTATTACGATAGCTGCCAAACCGACCTACTGCATAATGTCAATGTCAAACAGATCCTGCAGGAGAAGACTGGGGTGTTGGCGTTCAGTCACTGAGTGTACAGACACCAGTCACATTTCCTGCGTCTTTTGCAGCATACAGGATAGACTCATCACTATAAAGTCCACTACTTCGTGATTTTTATTTGTAGAATACATGACAGGCGTATTCAGTGTGCCTCGCAGGACTGCGAGATGCTGCAGAAGACCAGGTTCGACCTTTCTGGACGGCCATTCACCGACGGTGGGCTACACGATGCTGGAGGAACTAGATTCCAGTGAAAACCCAAGATTCCTTTGCTCCTGGACGCTCGACGTGTTGTGATATCTGCCAGGTGCGCAGTAACTAGTATTTTCATCGCTATAGCGAGGACGACGCCGATCGGCAAACTCTCGCTCACAGCCATCACCAGCCTCTCAAAACCATCACTTGGCATCCCCCAGAGGTATAGGAGAAAGCCAAAACAGCTCTCAACAAACAAAAGCTAAGGACGATGGAAAGAGAGCATGTCAAAAAGAAGACGAACAGTATGAAGTTCAAATGGGTTTGAACACTCGTACCACCAACTATACCACTTTCAATAAATCGTGACGCCATTTTGTTTTAACATGAATATCGCGGATTGGCATTTCGAAAAATTTCCCATTTCACAAGCAATGGAAAATTGTGTAGCGAAGTGGGAATTGTATAATTAGTTGGAGGTGAAGGTGAGATATAGCTATGTCTAGCCCTCGCGATTTACGCGATTTCATGCTCGAACACAGCATTTTTTTAAAGTTCAATATTCTAATGAAGCTGTACTTGATGCAGCTCATCCAAGGCCCTTCAGGCCTATTTTCATGGAGAACAAACCCAAACAGGGTGGGTGGGTGGGACATAGTTATATCTCACCTCCAACTCCTTATACAATTCCCACTTCACTACACAATTTTCTATTGCTTGTGAAATGGGAAATTGCATGTCGGAGTTTCCGGTGAGATATAACTATGTCTTGTTTAAAGTCGGTTCCGCACCCTGAGCGGAAACAAGAAACTATCACACTGTCCACACAAGGACTTAGTGAAAGTTCTAGTAAGGTGCGTGGCATGATAAACAAGCATAATCAGCCCACACTATGCCAGGCACAGACCACCGAATGACCATCACTGAGTACAGATGGAATTATCATAAAACTTACGCACAGAACGGCGAGTGGAGTAGATCATACCAAAATGGAATGCAACGTAGCATTGTCAACTATGCAGAATTAACGGACAATGCAAACTCCAGAGTGGGAACACCTGGGAAAACTGGTGCACCAGGTATATACAGGACCTTTGGAAAGGAAAAGGTCTGAGAAAACCCCAAATGTGTAGGAGAAAAGAACACGGCGGACTGAAGCCGTGGACCCTATCGGCCGCAATCATGAGCGGCGGAATAACAGACTGTCAGCCAAGGACAGTCGCACCGAAGGTGGTGCCATCAGAAAAACGATGGTGTCCACACCAGCATCCGACATGGAAGTGAGGAGCCACCTCAGCGGCAACGGTGCGCGGTGAGACCGGCTTGTGAGGACGTCGGAGCGACAGCAGCAGAGGGTTGGCAGACGCGGCGGCAGCGGGCGGGAAACTCTCTCTCTCTGTGCGAGCAGAATACTGCCTTAGAGCATCCACACACAACGGAGGGTGCTGAGGGCAAGCAGGGAAGACAAACTACTTGGCTGGATCACCGACGCGCTGATTCTGGGTAAAAGTGGGGATCCCAAATGAAGCAGCGTTGACAATAATGTCCATAAAACGAACATCGAGCTTCTGCAGCTCAGA